GGAAATCATTATTATCGGTTATTTCAAAATCACTACGCACATCCTTTTTTTTTATAAATGACCTTATAGAGATCAAGATTATCATTTGTCAAAATATGCATATTTGCATAAATAATAATAGTAATCTTTATAAGATCGTTTATAAAAAAGAGAACGTGAAACACCAGGCATATTCCTTGCCTAGATCATTCTTGAAACTCAGAGAAAGAATCACCAACTTTAGCAAATAGATTTAGGTGCTTGTTGATTAATAAATGAAAAATTAATGCTAATCATGGCTTACCTATCAAAGTAATAGATGATATGAGGACTGATCTAGGAAAATGTCAGTCTGAGAACTTGATAATTCTCTGATTAATCATAAAAATGAATAATTTTTTATATTATAATTGGGTTAGATGATTAATCCTTATAAGCAGTCAGAGAATTCTCAAATTCCCAGACTGACATTTTCATTGACCAATCCTCAAAATATAATTAAATGCCCGTGGGGTAATCTTGGTAAATCAAAAAAAATCTTTATGAGCTAAGGATAGTAAAAACAAACGAAAGCGTATTAGAACTTAAATATATTTCCAATGTTTTAATTTAAAAGCTGATTATATTTACCCAGGCATAATTAAAGATTTTATAATATACCAGGGTTTTTATTCCGCAAAATACGAGAGCATAGCATTATAGATCCATAAGTTAGTTCAAAAAATATGGTATTAATTCTAATATAGAGTCGAAGAGTTTCTAAGTAAAGTATAAAACAACTATACCTCAGCACTTATTAAGTTCTTAAATCTCTACTACCTATTTATTATTTGGTGTTACAAGCTCCGGGACATATCGATCAAATTTAAAAAAAATCAGACTTTAGTATATTGTTAAATGATAATAATTAAAAAAATTACCTTAAATTTATCTATAAATTATCTTTTTGTATACTAATAACAGTTTTTGGCAATACTTTGATATAAGTCTTATTACTAAGAGACTCTCTAAATAGAGAAGTTGTCAGTTAGTAAACTGAAATATATAATATATAATATGTCTATTGGTGTCGCTCAGCATACAAAAGAAAAAAAAGCATATATGCGCATATATGCACATTGCCTATTTTATCAAAAAATGAGTAATTGCATTAATTATCCAAATAACGTGTATATCACTTCTTTGGAGAAATAGCAACCTTGTATAAATCACTTCTTTGGGAAAAATTAGTAACCTTGCATAAATTACCTTTAGTAGCGACTCTGCATAATAAATTCTGGTACTTGAACTGCATAATTATATGATCTCAATTCCTATTAGAAATATTTAAAAGCCAAACCAAAGTGGAACTTATGTTAAAAATTACTGAATCACTGCAATACGAATTTCATCAATAGCGTTTGAACGAAAATCACATACATTAATGTAGTAAGTTGTAAATTCATTTTGCTGTCAAAATACTAAGGCCATATGGAACTGATCCAGAACAAACAAAGAACACAACCTTTAAATGCTGATATTATTGTCTGGTAGGTGATCTTCAAGAAAATTTAGTAACCTTATATAAATCATGCATTAATGGTTCTAAATAACCTTGCATAAATCACTATGCAAGTGTTGGATGTTGTTATCAGCATGGAATTTGAATTGGGATGAAAGGATGAACATAAGTCATTCATTTATTACCAAAATTCTGCAGAGATAGGTTATGTATAATGTTGGCATTGTTATCGAAATGGAATTGAAGTTAAAAAAGATGACTTTTGACGATAACACTTCATAATAAATTTCAGTACCGTATTTGTACGAAATAATGTCCACAGATGTTATTTCAGAACTATGGTCTAATGATTAATTTAACCGAAGACTTTTAATAACAAAGAATTATGATTTATACTCAGATTAAATTAATTATTAGCTTACCTCAAGTTCGTTCTGAAATAATGCTTATGGGCATTATTTTACATAGCTACAAAACTAAAACTCCATAATTATATGATCTCAGCTCTTATTCATAATCTTTCATACAAAGTATACCTGACCGTGCATGTCTACAAAAGAATCTAAAAGGCATTTGATTTAATCATTATAAGCCTGTAATTTAAAACAAATAACTTAGATAAATAAGTTTAAAATCAAACCAAACTAGAACTTATTGTTAAAAAATCACTAAATTATCATATTATGAATTGTATCAATAGCATTTGAATGAAATCATAACATTAATGTAGTAAGTTGTAGATTCATTTTGCTGTCAAATACTAAGACCATGCGGAACTGATCCAGAACAAAGAAAACATCCTTTAAATTCTGATATCATTGTTAGGTGATCTTCAGAAAAAATTAGTAACCTTATATAATTCATGCGTTATAACGTTGCATAAATCACTTTTAATGATGACTCTGATAATAATTTTCTGTACTGTATTTGCACAAAATAATACCCATGAGCATTATTTCAAGACTGAGTTTAAAATGAGCTAATAATTAATTTAACTGAAGACTTTTAATAAGAATTTGATTTATACACTGGTTAAATTAATTATCAGCTTGCCTCAAGCTCGTGTCTCAAAATAACGTCCATGGGCATTATTTCATACAAATACAGTACTTAAATCCATAATTATATAATCTCAGCTCTTATTCGTAATCTTTCAAAGTATACCTAACTGTATACGTCCATAAAAGACCCATTTTAAAGGCTTTTACTTAATAATCATATGTCTATAATTTAAAAACAAATAGCTTAGACAAAAAATTTAAACTGCAATCCAAAATTGGAACTTATTGTTGAAAGAATCACTAAATTGTTGCAATATAAATTTTATCAATTGCATTTGAATGAGAATCATATGCATTAACGTAATAAATTGTAGATTCATTTTGTTGTCAAATACTTACATCAGACGGAAATGATTCAGAACAAAGAATACAATCTTTAAATGCTGATATTATTGTAGTATATCAGCGCATATGGATATACAGCATCTAAATGGCATTCAATACTATATTGATACTCTGAATAAGTTATGGACCTGTTTTCTTAATAATTTTTTTTTTAGTATTTAATATAAAGGACAAAATACACAAAAGCTATAAATTGTAGCTTAAAAGTCCTTTGTGCTTTTTTTTTATACTCAACTATTTTATTTCTAAAGTTAACAATGTCGGGTATTGAATCTGAAGAAACTTCGCAAGAAGTTGATGAATTGTTAGACGAATATAATTCTCAAACTGAAGGTTCCCAAGCCAATTCAAAAAAACATAAGCGTCGTCGTAAAATAAATAGACAATATGCACTATGCTGGAAATATTTTAAAAAAGTAGAAGAAAAATCAGTATGTGATGTTAAAATTAAAAAAAATGGAAAAGAAATGAAGTGTGCAAAAACATTTAAATATCTTTCCAGATAGTCAACGTCCAACATGAATTCGCATCTTGCAGACAAACATGATATAGTAAAGTTTCAAAAAAACAAGGTAAATAATCGACTTCATGATTTTATCTAAAAAAAAAATAAATTTAATAATTTAGTCAATAAATTTTAGAGTAATACAAAAGGTTATCAGCAAACTATCACTACTATGCTACAACGTGTTGTCCCTCACAAAGGAACTAAAAAACTTAATATTTGTCACACCGTTGTAGAATGGCTTGTGATTGATAATCGATCATTTGAAGTTATCACCGGAGAAGGGTTTCGTAGGTTTATGTTGCAAATAGACCCTGCCTTTTGTCGGCCTTCTTATAAGGCATTAAAAAAAGAAATATCTATTGCAAATGTAACTACAAAAAACCAAATAAATGATCTTTTAGCACAAAGTAGTGAAACAATTTCTCTAACAACTGACCTTTGGACAGCAAGAAATAAAACAGGATATATCAAAATAACTGCTCATTGGTTAAACGATAAGTTTGAATTAAATGAAATCCTACTTGCTTTAGAGTCAATGCCGTACCCCCATACTGGTCATGTTATTAAAGATTTTCTTATTAGTAAAGCACAAGAATTTAATTTACAAAATAAAATTTTTTGTATTGTTACTGATAATGGTAGTAACATGATAAGGGCTATAAGAAGTTGGGAGGGTGTAGAAAGATTGGCATGCACGGCCCATACTTTACAATTATCAATCAATCACGCATTTAAGGCAAAACGTCGACAAATTATCCGTATACAAAATTTGGTTAAATTTTTTGATTCACCTAAACAAAGTCAGAGATTAGATACTGCGCAACTTGAAACGCATAAAAATAAGCAGAAAGAAATGTCTTATAATAATCCAATTTCATCTGATGAATCTGAAAATAATGTTAATTTCGAAGATGAGGAGGATAATGAAATATTAGTTGATGAGAAAATGACTATTAATAAGTTTGTACCTACATTGCGAATTATTAAAGATATACCAACCCGTTGGAATTCCAAATTTCGATCATGGAAAAGGTTAATTGAGCTGTGCCCTGCAATCAGACGGCTTTCAGCAACATTGCCTCTTGAAGATAACCCGAAAGCACAAAAAGATAGTCAAAAATTAAACAGTTTGATGCTGCAAGATAATGAATGGGATTTTGTTAAAAGGTTAATTGAAATATTAGAACCTTTCAACAGTGCTACTGAATATTTTAGTGCTGGACGATATCCTACTATAGTGTGTATTCATCTATTAATAGAGGCAATGAAGATTCATTATTCAAAAAATATAGATATTGATGAATATGATTATAATAATGAAGGTATAAAATTTTAATATCAGTAGTTAAAATTATAAAATATTGCATTTAAGTAAAAAAAAAATTGTTGCAAATGATCACGAAATCAGATGATATTAAAATTATTGTATCTGATTGTTAGAGTTAGACGATTAGCTAATAAAAGCTTTAGATTTCATAATCATCCAAGTTTCATGATCATCCGCAACAAAAAATATAACATGTCAAATGATAATTAAAGCGTCTTTGCCGTGAAAATAACCTTAAAACATAGTAGTTATTATATAAAGCCAAAGACCCATTTGACATACCAATTTTTCCAATTTTACTAATATATACTTATCAAGTATTAATTATATTAGGTCACCAAGAAACATCTAATTATGATTCAGAGTCTGAGTCATCAAATAATGAAAATGAAAATGGTATATCCTTCGATACTCAAGAAAATCAGTCAGAAAATCAGCCAGAAAATGACCCTGAATTAATTGTAAAAAACATACAAAAAATAATATATAACTCACTTTTTAAATATTGAGATCACCCATTACAAATTTGCCTTCTCGCAACATTATTAGACCCTCAGCTGAAAGAAATGTCTTTTGCAAACGAAGAAACTCATAATAATACCATTAATGAATGTAGACATCAACTTCAACAACTAATGAATATACAAACACTAACATCAAATGAACATACTACTTCACCTAGTTCAAAAAATCTCTCTTCTAATAATATGTTTAAAAACCTTATATTTGGTAGTGCTCAAAGATCGCAAGAATTTACAGATAAATTGGATTCTTACTTTGACCTTAGGCGGACACCACTAGCCTCTCCTGATAAAGATCCTCTTTTATGGTGGTAACAGAACCAAGTTCAATTTCCAATCTTCTCAAAATTAGCCAGAAAATATCTTAGCGTTCCCGCTACTTTTGCTCTTAGCGAGCACATTTTTTCTGATGCTAGAAATTACATTACCCCTCGACGTTCTAATCTAAAACCCAAATTAATTTCTCGAATGTTATTTTTAAAAAGGAATGATCATTTTATTAATATGTTTCCTAACTCTCATATATATAAGAAAAAAATCTAAAATGTATACTAAAGCTTCGATCCTATTTTTGATAGACAATCCGGATTGAATACACATCAGATTACATATAAAGTTAGCTTTATAGCACATCCTTAGGTTCATTATTTAAGTTCTTTGACTAATCCAAGTAAAAATTTCTGATCTTGATATCTATTTGCAATTCGGATAGTCAGATTAAGATCGAAGCTCTAATATTTACCTATCATTTTAAAATTTAAAAATTTGTATGATATAGTCAGTATAGAAAAGAGAAAATTTTGAAATAAAATAGATTTCACAAATCTTGGCGGAGAATTTTTAGGCCCAATGAATTTTTTATAGTGAAAGTCACCTACACAATATAAAAATTTCACTTATCTTTCATTAGCCTAACTACACCTAGATATAGCTTCTGTTCTGAACAGTTATAATAAAGACCTTCATTATAGGTTTATGTTTAACATTTTATTTTCAAAATTTTGATTTCTTTATCAAAAAAATATATGTTAGTGTTAGCAAGAAGCTCAAAGAGTATATCGAAGTATCTCTAAGCCACAAAAATTGAATACAGGTCAACCGATTATGTCGGGTCAACCGATTAAAAAATTTAGTTAAACCACAAAAATTGAATACGGGTCAGCCGATTATGTCAGGTCAACCGATTATATCGGGCAACCAATTATGTCAGCAAACTAATTATATCGGGTTAGCCGATTATACTGGGTCAACCGATTATATCATATTAACCGGTTAAGCATTTACTTAATCAGTTACCCGAATTTATTTAGTTTAGTTCAGTTACCCGATTACAAGCTATCCGGTTCAAATCATTAATTTATAATATAAAATTTTTTGAAAATTATACAACTCTTTCCAATAATCACTTGAACCAAAACTGCACCAAAACAGTTTGAAGATTCAAGGCCATAAAAAGTCTAAAGATACCTGAGGTTCCTTATTGGTACTGTTGCCGACAAAAACATATACGTGAAACACCGAAAAGTGGGACATATATAGTTGGTTTGTGCTTTGGGTCAAGCTTTTCTTCTTGGTGGACTTCCTCGCATGTTTGGCATCCAAGCCAGAAGGGTTATTTTGGTAACAGTAGTGGTAAAAAACTCTCGACTCAAGTGTCTAAAGCTTTTTAGTTCTACAATAAACAACTGAAATCACTTTCATTGTCTTGAGCTTTTGCAAATCAATATTTTTCTCCTTTTGATACTTTTGGCTATAATTTTCAACAAAAAGTGGGGAATCTGGCATACCCTCTCCAAAAGATCGGCAATGTTTATTACTTTCATATTGGAAAATCTGTATGATGACAAACAACACGTATAAAATAGACAGTGCTGGTAAATTTAGTAACTGGATGAGTATTCAGAAGAATACCTTACATGTCATGTTGTTGAGGATATATAAACACGTGATCATTAGATAGAGCACATAGAAATTCCAAAATTCTTATACTTTCAGATGAAGATATAGATTTAATTGAAAGAGTAAAGTAAAGTAAAAAGAGATATACAGGCATCCTCTAGTCACCTGTATATAATTTTTAGCCTCTAGCATAAGTTATAATGCATTTTATTTTAGTTTTCTATTTCTTGTCAAGACTCTCACCCTTAATAGTAGATCATGATTCTGTATAATTAGAAGTTTTTGTCTAGTTAGCAGGTTTTTTTCTTTTTAGCGATAGTTTCTTTTAGGTTTTAGTTTAGTTTTTTTTTTATATTCTTTAGTATTAGTATCTGTTTTTCTTTGATATATTAGTTTTATTTTTTACATCTTTTTTCGTTTTTCATTATCTTTTTTTTTTTTTTTTTCCCTTTCTATGAGAAAGTATCATCAGTTTGGCAGCATTCTATTATAAAGCAGAAATCTTGATGGGGTGAGCAACAGCTAGCCAAGGAATCTAGGAGAAATAAGTCTGAAGTGAGTTCTGGATCTTTGGAAGAGGCCAAGTGTTGCTAGGCAGGTCACATCTGAGCAAAACACAATAGTTTAATGGTTCTCCCTAACTGCAAATAGATGTTACAGCATCTGTGAAGTATACCGTGAGTGAGTTTACATTTTGGTTGGAACAATTATAAATTTAGATTTCTTATGCTATGTAAAGATGAAAAGTCTGTTCCCATAATAAAGTAAACAGGATTGTCAAAGAAAAAAAAATTATAAAATTTTTTACTCTAATTAATGAAGTTTAGATGTTTTATAAAACAAATATTTAAAATTTATATATTAGTAAAAAAATTCCAAAATATAGCTTTATTCTTCTACATATAATAAACCTCTAGTAAAAATTTGTAGATCTTCTCTAGTTGACTGGCAAATCACTAATTAAATTATATACAAGTATAATACAGATTGTAATTATTTAAATATTATTAGATTTCAGAGCTATGAAGGTAGACAACAATTTATACAGTACCGGACAGTAAAACGCATCTAATGTTTATTAGTAAAAACTTTAAAGTATTATAACTTTTTTAAAACAAGCTAAATCAAAAAACCCTTTGACAAATTGATAGATTTTTAGATAAACTATATTTCTGTTAGAGGATTTTTTTTTATTCTTTGTTTTGAAAAAGTTATAAAGGATTAAAGTTTATATGAATTCAAAAAATTGGTATTTAATATAGAAAAAAAGAAAATATATATATTTTTTTAACCAATCAGAATCAATTACACAAAAAATAGCCAATCAGAATTGATTATATAAGCATCAAAAATTGGCGCCT